ACACAGAGAAGACACTGTCCACTGAATGATTCTGACTTTTACATCATGTGCTCATTGCAATTTTTCAGAGATGCACTTTTTTTCCTCATGGGAGCTGGGAACCCCTGTGCTCCTGTTGGTCGATTGAGGCTGTCACTCAAGCTGTATCTTCCCGTAAGTGGAGCATAATATAAAACATCAGCAGGTTTCCCTCCAAGGGCAAATAGGTCCAAAGGGAAGGTCATTAGAATTCATGCCACTGAGTTGACCATATCCAAATGACATTAAAGCCAGGAGGGGTTGCAGATTAGGAAACCCTTCCTGTGTGTGTTGGCAGTTGGACACTCTCCTCTGCTTTCGTCTGCAGACTTGAGGGATTTGCATTAGTGGATCATAAGTAAAAACCCCATCATTATAATTGCTTTTTGTGAGATACCCTGGATCATCAGAGATATCTCCTGGAGCTGCCTGGTTATGGATTTACCTGGTTGTGGCTTTATCTGTCTGTCCATTCATTATGACCACAGCCTGCTGGAGTGTGAGGCAAAGGTGCTGGTCTAATGCCGCTGTGGAATCTGCCCTACTAACCAGACACCACTGTGTAGGAGCCATCCTATACTTCATGCCTGGTTTCAATGTCGTGAGGAACTGGAAGCTGAGATACATCTGTGTGATGCTGGGCTTCCCAGCCTGGCTGTAGAAACAGGAAGTGTAGAGACCTTGGCTGTAACATAGCCCCTGCCACTGAATTCCTTGAATGACCTGGACTGAGTTACATTTGTTTAAACTTGATACATTTGATGAATGTCATACTAGAATTCTTCATATTTGCCCATCCCTAAAATTCTTCGTCGTCTATTGAATAATAGGTACTTCGATTATGGCCCATTCCTTTGGAGGTAAAAAGCCAATTCAGTAATGTAATATTAAAAAACCAATTGGGATTGAATTTCCACCCACTCCTCCACATGTGTGTCCTAATACTTACAAAGTCTTCCTCTTCTGCCTCATGACTGTGCCTGTGCCTGCCAGGCGGAGAGCTTGCATTCCCTGACAATGGCTCCCTGCTCTGCCATCCTACACCATGGAGTGTTCCACATTCTGTTCAGATGTCTCCTCTTAGAGGCTTTCCCAGGCTCTTATCCTCAGGACTTAGGTGCCCCCCATATGGGCTCCCACAGAAACCCCTCCCCATCCAACTCCCACACTTCTGCCCCAGCACCTATTGCATGAGGTTGTAAATTGCCTACTGATGTATCTGTCTGACCTATTATTGAGGAAGCTTCTAGAGAGCAGACTCCTATTTTAGCTGCTGATTCCAGGTACCCAGCACAGAACCTGGCAGAATAAACGGCTGATTAAGAAATAAATGAGTCCCCATCAGCATTAGTACAGAGACTATGATTCTAGAATTCCCAAGGTGGGCAAGGAGTATAAATATACACAATATATTAGAGTGGCTCAAGTTCTTTCTGGCCAAGGCCAGAAGGTTCTGTAGTAGTCCTAGGTCCACTGTTGGTAAATCTAGTAAGATCCTCAAATAAGATATCAAAGTTAAAGAACAACATTTGCAATCCAGAGAGTAAAATGGTAACATTTAAGCATTTTTAAGTAAAATCAAATAAATCAAGATTCATTAATTACCAGGATATTTGAAAAATCTCTGGGTTTTTCTTCTCTTTCTCCCTCCTCCCAACCCTTCCTTGATCTCAACATCCATCCACTGTTATACCAACAACTGCTGGGCATCAATGTTGCTCAGGCCTATAACTTGCACTGAAGAGTAGGAGATAGTAAGACACTGTTCTGCCCCCCAAGGAGCTCAGCACAAAGTGAGCAGAGAGGCAGGATAAATGGATAGATACAGTGCAATAGGTATTGGGATGGAGTTCTGCAGGGAGCCTGGGAGCAGAGGGGAGAGGCAAACCACCCAGGGGGGTGATTCACGATGGATTTCTGGGGGAGGAGACACTATCCGGTATGCACATTCTGGGCATCAAGTGATTTACATCCAAAAAAGCTGGTAAGGTTCTGTTTGCACAGGGAGCTGAATAAAGAGAAAGAAGCATCACAGGTTGGCTGATACGCACCACTGAACTGCTAGCCTGGGTATGGATGAAGTTTCCTATGCCTTACTCAGGCCAGCTCCCTTCAGAGGGAGGGATGACTGCCCAGGTAAGCTGGGGCTCTGATCACAACAGGCAGTCTTTACATTTTTTAAGGTTAATTTCTTCAGTAGAGGAATGTTATGGGCTGAATTGTGTTCCCCCAAAATACATAGTCAGAAACCCTAACCCCTAATATATTTGGAGATAGGGCCTTTAGGAGGTAATTAGGTTGAATGAAGTAAAAAAGGTTAGTCACTAATTCAAGAGGGATGCTTCCTTATAAGGAAAGGACAAGACACCAGAGATTTCTCTGTCCTGTGAAAACACGGTAAGAAGGCCCTTGATACCCAAATGTCTTTGGATTAAGGATTATGACTGCAAGCTGGGAAGAGATCTCCTACCAAAAACTAAACTGGAGGGCACCTTGATCTTGGGCCTCCCAATCTCCTTAAACTGTGAGAAAATAAATTTTGATTATTTAAGCCACCCAGCCTGTGGTATTTTGTTATGGCAGCCTGAGCAGACTAAGACAAGGAAAAACAGAGCCTGAGCAAAGTGAAGATTTGGCAATTGTATAGTGTTTCATCAAGATGATGAACATTTTGCATTTTGGTGATAACACTGATTGCTACATTTTTTTAAAAAGCACACAGTTAAATTTAGAAATGTAAACTTTAAAAATGTTAAATCAGCAAACACACCAAAGCAGCAGCATGGCATCATGGAAAAGGGCAGGTCCTGGCCATGGTTTGCGGTTTGCTATGTGACCTTGGGCGAGTTACTGGATCTCAGTCTCCTGTGTCATTACCTGCTGGGAAGGACCAGGGCAGATAGGAGCTCCCACACACATGAGCCTGGCACAGCACAGGCATCGATGAATGGTAGACAATGGAATCGGGATAGTTTGGACAGTGTTCAGCGAGTCTCAGCCCCTCCTTACATTCAGGACTTTGGGAACAGATGTTAGAATTGCTAGATTCACTATATCTTTATCTGGAGAACCAGAATTCCTTCTTCACCTATTTTTACTTTTCAACCCTATGACTTCATTTGCCTGCACCAGTGCTTCTGAATCCCATCTTAGAAAATGCCGCAGGGTATCTATAATTATCCCGACCAGTATAGCAATGTTCCTATTTTAAAAACACTCACAATATGGAATTTATTTTAATTCACTTCAATTTGTATTATATATTTTAAAACATCCCATAAAAGCCATATGGCACTTTAGGACATAGCTGAGAGGTTGCTGAGAAATAAAATAAACAATGTCAAGATTTCACAATTCCTGTAAGATCCAGAATTCCTTACTCAGAGGAACATATACTAATCAAGATGTCATCTTTTTAGAATCCTGGGATCTAGCAATTTCGGTTTTATCAGGAGTGGATTAGGCAGTTGCACCCAGGCTCATCCAAATATCTTTCCCACCTGCATGGCATCCTTCTTGTCCCATTGCCTAGAGTTCCACCATTCATAGAGTTAATGAACCTTTGTTTTCAAGAACATATGTATGTACTTCTGTGGGGGTGAAAGACAGCAGCACTAATTCCCATCTCAGTATGAATTAGTTCCTCCTGGAATGTTTACCAGTGATACTGTGAAATCAGTGTCCTGGAGGCCTGGGGACTTGGGTGGGTTAGGGAGAGGTTGGAGGTAGAGACAGAGTGACAAGAAGGGAGAAGGGAAAGGGTTATGATTCGATCATCACTCAGCAAGGCGAGGTGGGTAGCACACACAGTGGGCTTTGGAGGAAGAAAAGAAGATTGATGGTCCCAGAAGTACTTGGCTCAGAATATGGAAGGGGCAGGATGGAGCTGGAGATCATCATCCTAAGTGAACGGACTCAGAAACAGAAAGATCAAACACTGCTTGTTCTTACTCACATGTGGGAGCGAAACAGTCACAAAGATGGAAATAACAGACACTGGGGACATCAATAACAGGGAAGGTGGAAAGGGAATTTAGGGTTCCAAAACTACCGATGGAGTACTATGTTCACTATTTGGGGAATACATGCTTATCATAAACATGCATGTGTACCTCCTGAATCTAAAAAACAAAACAAAACAAAAATATGAGGTGCTGGGTCCCCAGGCAGGAAGAGTCACATCATTTCATCTGTTTCATCAAGCGGCATTCCCTCCTCACTTCTCTGACTGCTGGCATTCTTCCTCTTAGTCACTTAAAACCCTTTAAAAAAACTCAGTCCCTGGACCCTTTCAAATGGACGTGAAAGCCGACTCTAGGCTTGCTGCACAGATACTTCTTGGTGGCACAGTCACTCAAAGAAGTGAGTGCTACGTCTACCATCTCAATGCTGCTCAGGTCTCAGAAACAGACACTTCAAAGCTTTGGCTTCACATTAGACACTTGCTTTGTCATTGACAAGTATGACGCAGTGGCCCTGGTGATCAAAAGTCACGAGGCTCTGGAGTGAGTCATAAAATTTTCCACTTCAAAAGAGAGCATGCACTGCCCATGGTGCTCCATGTCACCATTGATTTCCAAGTCCTCAGGTCCCTGTTCTCAACCTCTTGTCACCCAAAGGAGGTAGTAAAGCACCAAAGGGAGACACAGAGCATTTATGATATAAAAATGTACTCACAAAGATCATCACGGCCCAAGGATCAGGAGAACCAACCTCTAGGAGTTCAACGCACCGCAAATGGACATGCCACACATGGTAGGTTCACTGACCCTGCAGCATCTCAGCTGGGAGGTGTGGCCCTCCCTCCCCACCTCTGATTGGCTGTAAGGAGGCAGTTTTTATCCTGAATGTAAGATGCTTTGTGTCTCCCTGAGCTGAGTTCTCTAAAACCAGAACCTTGAGGTGCCTCCCCTCTGCCATCAGCACTGGATCCAACCAGTCATCCCTGCTGAGCAGGGGCAGGTGTGAAGCGAGCACCATACCTGGTCCAGCTTCCAGTGGAACTCTGCAGGGCGAAAGGTGTCAGCTTGATCGAAGTCCTTCCGCAAGAGGAAGACGAGACGGCAGTTGTGCACATACAGGGCATAGTGGTGCCGGTTCATTTCTGGAAAGCAGAAAAAGGATTTGGAGAGTGAAAGAATCCCTGTGTCAATCTCTGTCCAAGAAGTCTACCTCACTTAGCAAAGTTCGAAGGACAAAGGAATGGGCATGCCAGTCTTCTCATTTACAACTGGTTCTGATGCAAGTTCTAGAACACACACAGGAAAGCTCACTGGAACAAAAAAGGAAGACTCAGGAAAACTTGCAGTGAAACTCCTGCTGAGAAGCCATCAGGGCTTTAAATACCAACCTAAGTTGTACTCAGATACGGCATCAGACCCAGTGTAAAAATTTCTCAGGTTATAAATGTTTCAGGGAGGGTTTAGGGAACTCTCTGCCAATCACAGCACCTGCTCTGGCCTCCTTTAACAGAGAGGTTTCTCCTAAAGTTCTGGGATTTTACTTTATTTCTTCAGACTTGACAACAGTGACCAAAAAGCACGTCTCCTTTTTCTTCCTAACCTGTGTTAAGAGAAGCTGCCTCCCGAGTCTGCAGGTTTGACACCAGCCCTGACAACTTGGCGAGACCTTGTCTCCACAATAAATCAAAAATTAGCCAGGCATGGTAGCGAATGCCTGTAGTTCCAGCTCCTTGGAAGGCTGAGGCGAAAGGATCGCTGGAGTCCAGCAGGTCAATGCTGGGATGGCCACGAGTGTGCCACTGCACTCCAGCCTGGGCAAGAGAGTGAGACTCCAACCCCCCAAAAAAAAAAAATAGAGAAGCTGTCTCATTTTGATCTGGGAGGAGGCGATAGACTGATTTTCCAACATCTTTCTGTGACTCTTCAAAGCAATAAATTTGCACCCACTCCCCATACACAATAAATGAACCTTTTTCTCTCCCAATATAAAAACTTCCTTAGGAAAGTTATAATAATTTCCTGCTTAGGAAATCTCATGTCATGGATCCCAGCCATGATGCCCGTACCCATAAGATACTACCAATTGGCCAACACTTAGATAACTCAAGTTTTACTTCATTATAGAACACACAGAAATCTACCAGGAGACACATACTCCATAAATGTTGAATGAATGAGTAGGTGAACTTGTGTAGTAGAAAGAGGATGAGCCCTACATTCAGACAGACTCTGGGTAGAGCTCTGGGTGGAGCATTGGATGATGTAGGGAAGGTCATTTAGCTTCTTAGAAACTCAGTTTCCTTAATTGTGTCATGACAGGGATGCCGGATTTTCCTGATGTCTCATAAGAATAGGGGACTGTGGTTTATTCCTGTATATTTTGTATGAACCTCCCTTCTGAAGTTTCAAGGAGGGGAGGAATCAACACCAATTCCTCCTCTAGGATGGGTCCTGACTGCTCCTGGTCAGGCAGGCTTATGGAAATCCCCCTGCCACAGAGACTGGATCAGGATGCATGCCCAAGTTCAGCAGTGCGGCCATCCTCCTAGCCTCAGGGTTTATTTCTGGAACTGGTGAGTGACTTAGTTCAGGCCAGTGATACGAGTGCTTTTTGGAGCAGTTCTGGGAAAGATCCTATTTTCTCTTTTAGCAGAAAACAAATAGAAGAGATACCCTCTTTCCCTCTGGAAGTTGTACTATATCACCGGGCAGCTGCAGCCATGTTTGCTAACATAAAATGGAGACACTTATGGGCACAGGTCTGAGAAATTGCAGAGAAAAAAGCCAGGCCTTGGGTACACTTTACCTGGATGATGAATTCATAAGCCATCACGGCTCTGGACGTTTTCACTTTTAAGAAACCCACATTCTGTTCATTAGTTTGATTTCTTTTGATACCAGTCTGAGCAGGACTGAGCAGGACTTCCCACTCCTTGTAGCTGGAAGCATCTTAATTGATACCATGAGGAAATGTGTGGAAAGCATCTGCCCAGCACAGATGCTTAATAACCGTTACTTATTATAAGGACTATTACACTGCTTCGTGACCACGGCAATCACAACAAAGTAGTGTCAGATGCTGATTTCTCGAAAACCTTGCCATTCTTGAGAATGGAACCAAAAAATGGCAGGAAGGGGCCAAGTGTAGTGGGGCTTGTGCGACCAACATCTGGGTGACCATTCTTAGCTACTAGATTGGCAAAGCACCCCAGCCTGTTTATGGGGGATTTTACTGAACATTTCTTGTGCCCCTCAAAGCTGTGAAGCTGATTTTCTGTGGTTTTAAAAATAGCCACCTAGAAATAAAGAATTTTTGCCTCTAGTTTTATTCAGAGTCAGGGGAGGTTGGGGATGATGGGGAGGCAGAACAAGAGGAATAAAAGGGCAGACCCAGTCAGGCACGGTGGCTCACGCTTACAATCCCAGCACTTTGGGAGGCCAAGGTGAGAGGATTATCTGAGCCCACGGGTTCAAGACCAGATGGGCTACTTGGCGAGAACTCATCTCTACAATAAATCACAAAAATTAGCCAGGCATGGAGGCGCGTGCCTGTAGTTCCAGCTACTTGGAAGGCTGAGGCGGAAGGGTCACCTGAGCCCAGCAGATCGAGTTTGTGGTGACTGTAAACGTGCCACTGCACTCCAGCCTGGGCGACAGAGTGAGACTCCAACTCAAAAAAAAAAAAAAAAAGGTAAATATCACTCTGCCAGTATCTTCCAGCCTAGGAGATTCCTCCCTCCCTCTGTCAGTGCATCGTCCTGCCTAGGAGATTTCTCCCTTTCTCTGCTCCAGTTCCTCTGGATTCCTGCAGTCAACACATGCCAGGGTTCCTGGTTGATGCCTTGCATTGGTGATGTGATTGGCTCAGGAATCAAACTGATTTCTTTTCCTGTCCTTAGGAGATCTTCGTTGAAGCTTTCTTCCCTTCTCTTTGTCCACACCTCTAGATCTTAAGCCTTCTGGTCACTTTTGGATATTAGAACACTCTTGAAGGGTTCAATCCAAATCAAACATCCGTTTCCTATTCAGTTAGAGTCTATCATACTCAGTGATCTATCACAGAAATAGAAAACTGAATTCCACATGTTCTCACTCATAAGCAGACCTTGAACATTTACCATAATACTATAAGAAAGGATTGGCAGTAGTGGGAAACTGCCAGGGGAGGAGGGTAGGATTGGCAGTAGTGGGAAACTACCAGGGGAGGGGGGGTTGGAATTGGCAGTAGTGGGAAACTGCTGGGGGAGGGAGGGCACACCTCATCAACAAGTGTACCTGCATAATGAACATCTGTATACCTAACTGAACTGTAACCCACATCTTTAAAATACAAAATTAAAGAAAAAAAGATAAACCCCTCTCCTCCACTTGGTCTTGACCTAGGTCTTGGCAACCAACAATAGGGAAAAGGTGGGGTAAGGGCTTTCAACCTCATTCCACATCCTAACCCCCAAGCTCCTTGTAACTGCGATTCATGGTCACAGGTTGGGGAAGGCAGATGAGAGAAAAAGAAGTATGAACCATATTTAAAAAGCTGGTGGAGTTTGTCACTTTCTCCTGAATGTTGAAAGTCCTCTACGATGCCAGCAGGATTCTACATATGAACTCCTTCATGGGTGCATGGACTGGTTTTCAAAGAGGCTCTGCAGAGGTCTCCACATTGCCACCCTCACCCCCCACCGCGTAAGAATGGGCTTGCTATAAATCTTTACATAAGAATTAGTATGGTAAGTGACAAAGTCCCTTTCTGGGTGGCTAGGACACTTGTGCTCACTCCAGCCCCACTTTTTTTGGCCCTTACCTCTCCACTCCTGGTGTGCAAGATGCTCTTTCCGGTCACCTTTCATGATTCCTCCTCAGTTTCTGCCCTCTCTCAATAAACCTCTGCTACACACATGCATCTGCTACTGCTACCTCTTCTTGGCATGCATTCCTCCGACTCTAGCTTTGCACATTTCTGGATGCCCACTTGACCCACAAGAACAAGAACATTTGTTCTGCCAAATGGTAGCAGGAAACCCACTCCCCCTATTGTCCCTCGCTCCTCGTCCTACCTCTGAGGCTGCCCCATCAGCCTCTTGCCTTCAGACACTCTGAGCAAGAGTCAGACCCCAGCCTGCATGTACCCTAAGCTCCTGGGGACATGAGTCAGACTTTCCCAAGACGTTACTGGGCTCTGCTCCAGTACCAGCCCGGAGCAGACCTAAGTGTCTCCCAACCAACTAACAGCAGAGAATGAGGTTCTCTCCTCCTCTCTACAGCAGACAACTTTGCTCCTTCTGAGTGGTTGTCCGGGCACCTCTGGAAGTGTGAGTACCCACTTCCCTTTCCCAGCAGGCAGGGAGACTACCCTAGCGCTCTCTATCAGGCTGACATCTCTGCCTTTCTCACCCAGTGATTGTGGGAGCAGGTTGGCTCCTCTCTCTCAGAAAACCCCGGCTAGCACAGTACATGGCCACTTGTCCTTCATTGTTCTCAGTTGAAATTCAGAGATTGAAGAAAGGCTGCATGACAGGAGGGGGGTGGTCCCTGAAGGAGGAACAGATGTGTGTGTACGAGGGAATTACTGAGAGAGGGCAGAGACTGAGGAGGAATCATGAAGGGCAACTGGAAAGTGTTGCTCTGTTGGGGACTGGAGATGTAAGGACCAACAAAGGTGGGCTCCGAGAAGATGCAAGTGCCTCCTGCATTTCCCCGTAGTGGAAACACTGCTATTTGTTCATCTAACCCTGTCCTTTGATCCTAGACACACATCTAAACTCATTTCATAGCCTCCCCCAATGGGCAGCTGGAGCCCTATGACCAAGTTCTGACAAAAGGAATGTGATTAGAAGTGAAGCATGCCACTTTCTGTCCTGGCCAATAAAACCCTCTGCGTTCACCTTTCTTCTTTCTGACGGTTGAACGCAGGATCCTTGGTCTCTGAATGTCTGGGCAAAGCAGAGCGTCCCCACACTCCAGACCCACCCAGGGTTACTGGACAATGACATGAGGGAAACCATGATGAAAAAGCATTAGCCATGTTATCCATTGAGATTTTCTTGTTAATGGTTATAGTGGTCTCTGTCTCTGTCTCTATCTTTGTCTCTGTCTCTATTTCTGTCTCTCTCTCTTCTGGAATTAGCCTTCACTGACTAATCAGTTCTGTCTGTTACCCAACTGTTTATAAATTACTTCATAATGATTAGCATTAGTAAGTTTTACTTAGTGTACCAGACAGAAATTAGTGCCATCTTCATAAGGGGTAATTTGACAATTTCCTAACATTTATATTCTTTGAGTATGTAATTCAATTTCTGGTCAGAAGATAATCAGAAATGTCTAAAAGTTATATACCAGAATGCTCATTATAGCATTGTCTTATTTGCATTTAAAAGCAGAAAATCTACATATCTAACAAAAGGGAGCCAGTTAAATGAAGTATGATAAATCCACATGGTAGAATTTTAAACTGTCACATAATTAATATTTTGAAGATATTTATCACATGGAGAAATGACCTGGATATAATGCTATGTAAAAGAAACTGATAAGATAATAGTATTGCAGATATTATAAAAATAGATAGAAAATTATAAGGATATTCTACATATACACAGAAGTAAAAATAACATTATAATGAAATGTCCTAAATGCTGTTAGAAAATGACCCCTAAGTGTCAGGATTTTAGATGACTTGTGTATTCTCTTTTATACTGTTCTGTGTTTTTCATGTTTCAGCTATAAACATATGTTGCTTTTATAACTTGAAAATATGTTTTTCTTATATAAAAAAGCCTGAATCAAGTTTTAATTAATTTCCTGATTTTTTAAAAAATTAAGATGAGGTATTTATAGATTTTTTAAAAAAACTTAGAGTAGTTAGAAAAAAATAATCTCACCTTCTCTGTGCCAATCTTGAGCTAATTATAAAGTGTTGCTTCAGACAAGGCAACCAGGCTCTGCTGGTTTGGGGGTGCTGAATGTCTGTTTGGGGGATACCACGATGACAATGAAATGGAGTGCTCACCCATGGCTGTCAATAGGTTCCCCTGAGATTTATGAAGTTGGGCTGGGCCCTGCCATCTACATATTTTTACAGTTGCACTCATTTACTCAACAAGAGCCACTGGTGCAATAACATGGGCTTGGGACACGGGATCAGAGGACGTAGGTCCAATCCTGTTTTTCTTGGTAATCAGGTGTGTTATTCTGTGCCAGTCAACCAAACTTTCACACTCCAATTTACTCCTCTGTTAGCAGGAATGTTTATATCTGTCTGACTTGCTCTCAGGAGTACCTAATACAGCTCAAGAAAGGACTCTGTGTGTGTGTGTGTGTGTGTGTGTGTGTGTGTGTGTGTGTGTATGTGTGTGTGGCCACTGACTGCACTTCACGCTGCTTTGCATTCGTCTGCACATTCTGAAGTTGTGGTCTCATTGCAATGCTGGCTCAAACCTCAGCGCCACCTCATGCAGATCTGAAGGTCCTTCCTGCACAAAGGTCCCAGAGAAAAACCTGCCATCGGCACTAACTGCTACATAGACTTGCCTATGAACAAGGGAACGCTAGGCAACTCTGTTTCCGTTTCTACCTCCAGAAAATACATTAACATTTAATGTAAAGATCAATTGAAACAGGGAATGTGGGGGGTTCTTATTCTGCAGGAAATGCAGAATAAAACCAGAAGTAATAATGATCATTATATTAACATCAGGTAAGTTAATGGAGCGTTGATTATTTGCCTGGTGCTTCTATGTAATTTCACACTTTATTTCATGTTGATTTTCCTCATTTTATATATGGGCAAACAGAGTCTCAGACAGATTAGCAACTCATCAAAGTTCACACCTTAAGACTTGGTCAAGCTGAGAGACGAATCTTGACTGTTCCCACAGGAGGCAGAGCTATCTCCTTTTTCTTTCTTTCTTTCTTTCTTTCTCTCTCTCTCTCTCTCTCTCTTTCTCTCTCTCTCTCTCTCTCTCTCTCTCTCTCTCCCCCTTCCTTCTTTCCTTCCTTCCTTCCTTCCTTCTTTTTTTATTTTTACCATTATATCTGCTGTGGTTATTTACTTGGGGATATTTTAACAATATTGTTATTTGAAGTGGGAAATTGTGGAATGACAATGAAAGACAGAGGTTGTAAAATTTGCATAAGGTCTGAGTGGTGTGTGTGTGTGTGTGTGTGTGTGTGTGTGTGTGTGTGTACGCATCCTGCATGTACAACAAGAGCATAGGATTTGGCTTTATTTGGATCTAAACTGACATTCCAATTCTGATACTTACTGGCTGTGTAACTACTTGTGACAAGCAGCTTAACCTCTGAGAGATGTTTTCTTATCCTTAAGATGGGAAACACAATAATGCTTTTATAAAATAATCTGCAGAGATGTGAGAAATGGTTTGGAACAGTAATTGCTAGCACAGATCAGACTTCCCATGTGCTGGGCACTGCTGTAAGCACTTCATGTAAACCAAGTCATTTAATCCTCATGAACCCTATGAGGTAGATAATACTACAATGCCCATTTTATAGACAGGGAAAGTGAGACACCAAGAGGTTAAACAACTGCCTGAGGTCACATACTGAATAAGTGTTGGAGCGCTTTTAACCATCGGCTGTGGACTGCCTTGCGCAGGCTCAGCAAGATGACAATGCATAACCGAGGCTAGCAGTCATTGTGACATATAGCAGTGAGTTTCAAATGGCTAGTTTAAATTAGCAGGACCTTATTCAAAAGGAAACCATTGGAACTCTTTTTTTTTTTTTTTTTGAGTTGGAGTCTCACTCTGCAGCCCAGACTGGAGTGCAGTGGCCGCTCCCGGCCACCATAGCCTCGACCTGCTGGGCTCTAGCGATCCTTCCGCCTCAGCCTTCCAAGTAGCTGGAACTACAGGCGTGCACTACCACGCCTGGCTAATTTTTTATTTATTGTAGAGATGAGGTCTCACCAAGTTGCCCAGGTGGGTCTCGAACCCGTGGGCTCAGGCAATCCACTCACCTCAGCCTCCCAAAGTGCAGGATTACAGGCTGAGCCACCAAGCCCGGTGACCACCGGAACTCTTACTGTACATAATACAGCAAAGGGGAAGCTTCTTTGCTTGAAGTAAGGATGATGATTCCTCCCCAACCCTCACCTCTTTTACAGAAGCCCTAAGGTACCTCTTTGAGGATTTCAGCTTGAAAACCACTCATTCCAGTTTGTATGCTCTTTGAGTTCATACCTCTACTTTCCCCCCATTCCTGTTCCTGATCTACTCTGGGTCCAGCAGATCAGCTGGGAGTGAAGGGAGGTGGGGGGTGGGAGACTGAGCTAAACACTCACCCGTTTTGTCTGAGTTGCAGAGGATGGTTTCCTTCTCGGCTCTCACGCCGGGGCTGGGCCCGTGTTTCATCCACATGGTGATGGTAAACTGGTCCGTCAGGTTCTTGGGCACAATCCCATCCGGGATCTTAGCACCCTGCCTGCCGTCAAACCTGAAGATCATCTCGCTGCTGTCTACCAGCAGGCCTGCAGTCCAGTTGGTGGAAGCACTGGGGGATGGCAAGAGGTCAATGATGCCAGAGGAGGCTCCTGCAGGGGACGGGGATGAAAAGAAGGACAAGAAGTCATTCCTCATGGGGTGGGTGTCCTCACCTTCTGTTTTCTGCTACTGGACAGGATGAACTACTCGGCGTACATACTCTGTGCCTAGCCCGGAGCTGGGTGACTTGGGAAAAGAAGTGCCAGTTGTCATCTCAGTCCCTGAGTTGCTTATGGTCTACTCGGGCAGGCCTCAGGAACTTACAGACAAAAATGTTGCGTGTGGCAAAACAGGATGTCAGAAAGAAGAGTTGGAGGAACTGAGAGAGTTGGGAGACCCCAGGGGCTTTTATGAGCAGGTTCTTGGAGACCAGGGTTTGATTCAGGGGGATGGATATATTTCTGCACCCATCCATCCATTAACCTACCAGACACCTACTGACACCAACCATGGCCAAGCTAGGTGCTGGCTACACGAAGGTGAATCAGAAACAGCCCCTGACCTAGAGAGACCATTTGTCAACAGTTGACCAAATGCAATCAGGACTGTGACTTGGGAAAGTTCTAGATCCTGATCCCGTGAGAAGGGGTATGAGCCACTTTGTCCTCATCACACATTCTTACAACCATTTGCTGAAGCCAAATGGTGCAGTGGTTGAGGACACGGGTTCTGAAGTCAGCAAAACGTGAATGTGACATCCGGCAGCATGACTTGCTGGCTTAATGACTGTGAGCAAGTCACTTAGCCTTTGACCCTTTATTTCTTCCTCCCAGGACATTGTGAGGACTCAATGAGATAATGCCCTAGAGGTTGCAGCAGCATGTGCACCACAGGGTGCAGGTTCCCTCAGTGTTAGCTAAAACGTTACCAACATTATCACAGTTTCTACTACTACTATTATTCCAGGCCAAGGCACAAGGACTTAACCTGAAGTAGTGGGAATGCCACAGGCAGGTTTGTGCTTTAGGAGAATCACACCCACAGGTTTGTGGAAGGCTGGGCTAAGGTGAGAAGGAGCAGCTAGCCGACAGAAAACTGCCCCACTGGGAGGCTCTTTGGGCCTCTGCTGACTCTCCATAGAGGCTCAAATGCAGAGTTCATTACATCCTCTTGTTCCATACAGGAGCAGGGCTCAGTCACTTGAGGAAGAAGGCAAGCCTGGAGCTTCCTGTTATTTTCAAGTAGTAAGAGTCAGGGAGTCTAAAGCGTGTCCTGTGCTGGAGGCCGAGTGTGTGTGAACTCTCTTAGTGTGGTGCTGTCCAGTCAGCCACGGGTTTAGTGACAAAAGTTATGTGTATTACCTGCCATTTCCCAGGAACTCTGGATTTTTGACTTTTGTACATCAGAGCTTCATCTCACCTTGGGTTGGGCTCCAAAGTCAGCCACCACAAAAATATTCCCCCAATTAAAATGACCTTTAAAAATCCCTCAAGGAGATGCATACTGGAAACGAGCTTATATCTTTGAAAATGTTCAACCCAGCCAACTTTGCAACAGACCATCAGGTCTCTACCCATTGGCTGGCAACTGAAGGTCATGCTATGGGAAGAATATGGATCCTTAGAGCCCAGATTCTCTGCTTAGCACCGTTAGAGGTTCCCCTGGGAAAGGCTTCTGGAACTGTAGTGTCAGATCGTTGGAGGGGCGAATTATAGTTTAAAAAAAAAACTATGAACAAATTCTTTTTTTTTTTAAACTATAGTCCGCCCCTCCAACGATCTGAGGGACAGTGAACTGGCCCCCTGTTTTAAAAGTTTGAGGACCCCTAGTGCAGAGTATGTGTGGGGTGATGGGGAAGAACATCAGGGGTAGGTTGGGAGGCACAGCTGTTTACAAAATAACCCAGTCCTGGTAGTGTTATTATATAGATTTATCTGATATTTATAGAACTTTATTTTTTATATTTTTTAAAAGAACTTTACTTTTTTCCTATGAACATTTTACCGGGTGCTGAGTGGGTGGCAGACCTGAATTCAGTGGTTGCTCAACTGTGTGGTGAATACTATTAAGATGCCAGTATACAGATAACCCAGAGGTTGGGTGGGTCCAGGATCACAGTCAGTCAGGGAGCAAACTCTTCACTGAGACTTTCCAGCTTCAAAGCCCATGCTCCCCACGGCACCAACTCAGTGGACCCGGATGGACATCCTGTAACCTCCTGCTCGTGCAAGCATGCAAACTGAGACCCAAAGGGGAGGAACGACTAGACCAAGATTACACAGTTACACAGCTAGCTAGAGGCAGGCCCAGCTCTCGCACACTCAGCTAATGTTCTTTCTACCATACAGTGGTGTCCAAGGAAGGGGCCAACAGCTGACCCGCCAAGCACAGCCTAGTCCCATAGGATCCCACCTCCTTACAAAAGCTGCTGCTCTCACAGAAAGGCACATGCCCCGGCAAAGCCCTCAGTGTGGGAATCCTTTGTCTTCCCTACTGAGGGGGTGTTGCAGGTCATCTCCCCCAACCTGCAGATGTTGCCTGCCAGAAAGCATCGAACTGCATTTAACCAGATGGCGCAGACTTCCACAAACTTAACAGATTGTATTTCATTTCTTGGTACACTTAAACAAACGGAGAGAGATTTACTTTCTCCAAGGCTTTTCCATCTCTCTTCTCCCCAGGGATCGCTTGGAAAAGCTGTGGGTAAACAGGATGCATCACTTGCAGAGATGGTGCGGTACTGTCTGCACATCAGGGTATATTTAAAATGCTCCTTTGAAACCCTCCGTGAAAGTCTCCGGGCCCCCACGTTGCTGAGGATTCATACCATTCTGGTGCACAGCAGCAGCTTGAATGGGGGAGGGGTGCTTGGAATCAGGAGTGAGTTCTGATTTGAGGTCCCTGCATCTTACCAGAGCAGGGAAACCACTCTGAACCAGAAAATAGATAAAGATGGGTGAATGAGGCACATTTCAGGCACACAGTGGCGTAAGAGCCCAAATGGGGCCCGAGGGTGATGGTCACTGTCTGGACTTCTTAATCAATGGGTTTGCATTCTGCTCTGGATGACTTTGGTGAGGCCAGAGGGTCCTTAGGCCTTCAAGGGGCTCGTGGCAAGGGTAATTGACATGGAGCCTTCAGGTTCCACCTCCTCAGGTCCAATGTCCATCGTGGGGAGGAATGGAGACATATGGGAGGGTCTCAGGGAGAGGAACCAGTGTAGTCCAGGACACGGTGCTTATTCTCAGAATATTCTCACAACTGGCAATATCAACTCCATATGATGTCAATACATTTTTATATAATATCTAAGTTATGCTAGGCACTGTGATGAGAACATAGTAATGAACCAGACAGAAATGGCTCTATCCTTAGGGGCCCAGTTAGAGTCTTTTATTTTCTAAAGGAAGCAGTTTAGTGATAGAGAATCTCAGGGGAACCCAGGGAGGCCCCTGGATAAGTGCCTTAAAGACCACCAGGGTTGTGTGGTGGTAGGATGTAATTTCTTCACAACACACTTCTCTGACTCACTGATATCAGCTTGGTCAGGTGACTTGCTCTGACTAATGAAATGCATGTACACTTGACATGTGTCATCAGGACAGAAGCCTTAAGAGCTAGTTTGTGGTTTACCATGAGTTTTTTCTATCGCCTGTGAAATCAACAATGTTCTAGATCAAGGCTGTTCCATTATCCTGGATCCTGAGGGGATCTAGCATGGCACAGAGCCACAGACTATCCAAGGACACATGGTAGGAATGATAAATAAACCTTTGTCAACAGAAGCCAATGAGCATTTGTGGTCATTTGTTATTGCAGTATAACCTGTCCTATCCTGACTGGTAATTCACATCAGTGATTCACATCGGCCATTCCAATTCCCATATCTCCATCTGCATACCTTAAGCATAGGCATGGAGGGGTTCCTCCAAGATCCTGGAATCAGACACTAGGATTTCTAGTTGAAGCAAGATGGGTGAGGGGTGGTTGGCCAGGCTCCTGGGAGAGGGCAAGAATACCCAACTACTGACCAGCTTGGGCAAGGCCACTGCAGACAAAAACCATCTCCTCAACATAGGAGGTCAGGTTGTATGGTAACTATGTAAATGGCCTCCAAGTAATAAGCACATCCAGAAAGAAGAAGCCCACTGCTTACTGTCATGGGTCTTGACAGTGTGTGCTGCCCTTTGCTGATGCATGATTAGTGATATAATCTGATTTCCAACAGGTGTTTACCTACTTTGTATAAAGTAAGAGGCTCACTTCAGCTCTTAGAATGGAAGCACTGGCTATGATCAGGGACTGACACTGTCATGCTGGGAAGCTCCAGCTCTTTAGAGGTGTCTTGGCGGAACCCAAGTGGTTTCTTGCAGCTGTGCTGTTCTGAGGATATTAAAGCATCTGATAGTGATTCTTAGTGAGAACAAGCCTGTTGAGCTTCAAGGCGTAATAGAAAACCATGGGCTTTTGCAGCTCCTAAGAAATTTCATTGTAACTTTTTAAACATGTCTGTCTTCCCCAGAACACTAATTTTTTTAAAGCTTTAAAAACTTTTAATTGACTTATAGCAAGTATACATATTTATGGGGTACAATGTGACATTTATATCAATGCATGCATACATTGTACAATAATCAAATCAAGATAATTAGCAAATCCATCTCAAACATTTATCATTTCTTTGGGGTAGGAATATTCTAAATCCTCTACTCTAACTTTTTTTTTTGAAATATACATTATTATTACTAACTATAGTCATCCCCCTGTGCAATAGAATACCAGAACTAAATGGTCTTATTCATCTCTACATTATTTTAAGAGTTAGCACATCATTTGAACATTCCATAAATATTTGTTGCATTAATAAGCACATGCATGCATGGATGGGTGAATGACTGAATAGAAGAGTGCTCTATGAAAATCTTCTGGGCTCACGTATAATCCCTGGGGACAACTTAAGGTCTTGTCATCTGTGCTGTTCTGCCAGGTGAGTCACTCAGTTTTTCTACCATGCTCTTACTCTATGCCCTTTCCTTCCACAGGGCCTGTCTTCAGAGTTCATTACTCCACATACATGACAGCTGACCTGCACATCATGTCAGGAGGCCAAGGCCAGCTGCCAGGAGCCCTGTGGTCCCCCTAAGGAGTAGCCCTGACCCCTGTGCTCCAAAGTACACACACACCACAAACTAATTTTCTATTTTCTGTAATATGTAGTGACGTAGGGTCATCAAAGCAGGCCTTTGCTTGGGCTATTGTTATTGCCAAGTTTAATTTGACCAAGAGGTCTCATTGAAGGCTTCACTGCCATTTCATACTGAAGGTGGTTCTGTGACATTCACCTCTGGAAAGGCTGCTCCTTCAGAGGAATCTCTGAATTCAGAGGAAGTGAGAAGGAGTCGACTCAGTTTCTCCAAGAAGCCTGGCTCCATGTAGAGCGAGGGAAGGGGAGGGCCACCTTAGACTACGTCTGGCCCCACAAGCTGCAGGGGACACAGGTATAGGACCCTGCATTGTTTTTGTTCAAAGTGGAATGGAAATATCTCAATGTGTAAATCAAGAAGGCCATATGCCTGGCAGCCAATACTCCACTAGGCCCAAAGAGGCCATTCCAAGTGCTGTGGCATCTGTTCAGGCACTATCTAACAGAAGGCTGACACCAGGACTGTCTGACTGCCCCCTAAATAGAACACTTTCACTGCTCCTAATGGAGCCTACGTCACAGGAGGAAGCAGGTGGGCAAGGACCAGAGTTCCACACTAACTCTCTGGAGAAACGACCCTGTCGAGGTCACTGCATAACCACAGCATCACAGAGGAGATGCCAGGACTCACATGATCAGGAAAGCTCCACACACAGACTCCAGGTATACATGGAGAACAGGTTCACACCGTCTGAGTTGGAGGGTTTAGAAAGGTGAGGGGGACAGAGCATCCCAGTTGGGGGGGAAACATGAGTGAAGGCTTGGGGATAAGAACAAACCAGGCAGAGGGAACAAAGGACATGTCCTGACTAAGAAGAGGCAGAACATCAGGACAAAATGGAATACAGTGATGAATTGGCAGGGTGAAAGCAGATACATGGGCTGTTGTTAATGTCAAGTTTAATTTAACCAAGTGTTCTCACTTAGTGGGGTTTGGGGGGAGGTGTCGAGAATCAGGCTAGACTGTGGCACCCACATCTGGCTGTTCCACAGACAACTCCATCACTGTCCCATAAATCTGTTCTTGCTCCTGGGTACCTAGCTCTGGTAGGCAGCACCCTTAGCCAGTGAGACTCTCACAATACAGCCTTCTTAGACACCTTCTTTCTCACTCCTGACAGCTAATCAGTCGTTGAATCTTTCTGATTTTGCCTCCAAAATCTGTCTTAAATTCATCCCTCCTGACACTCCCCTGGTTCAGAACTCATTATCTCTTGCTTAGACTACAGCAATAATATTCTAATTGGTCTCCCTGTTTCCCTCCAAAGTCAATAAAGATTTGTAGGATGAAAAATGCATAAACACTGAGGCTTAAAGTGTTATGGCAGCTCCCAAGTTGGGAAGACCAGCAAGTAGCTTCTCTACCATCCACTGAAAGTACACAGAAACTTGTCTCTAGAACCAAAGGTGCCCTATAGGAGTCAGGGGTTACAACCCAGCTTCTGTTTCAGAAATGATACAGCCTGCATTTCTCTTGGGGTTTGGAGAGGGCCTAGGCCCTGTGCAGAAGCAGATTCCAATACCAGATTTGCCTCTGTGCTTCACTCCTTTGCTTTTGCCTTTTTTCCCCCCGCTGAGCTCTCCCCCAGAGAGTCAGACTTCTCATATGGAGGCAGGACTGACCCTGCCCAGCACGGTTACTGGGACAGCGTTTTCAAAGGTGTGGTTGACAAGGTTATGGCATAGGTCACCAGAGAGAAACTCAGACTTCTCTCGTTCAAAGGACAGCTTTCAGCTCCAAAAGATGCTGCACCTAGGAGGGAAACTGCCTTCCTGGCTGAATTAACCTGTCCTTCTGCAAGGCGAGGTTGGCAGCCCAGATGGAATGAGCTTTGTTAACGCACCAGATGCAATTTTGCTCTGAAGTTTCTTCCCTCAGTAAATCCTTCTCATACACCCTATCTCCCCATCTCTCCCCAGCAACATTCAAAATCAAATCACAAGTGTGTGCCCTGGGGCCCATCTGATCTTTAACAAGCTGATCCCATCATCGCCTCCTAACCCGAAGGAGTTTAGGAAATGACTCTAACCTGAAGTGGCGTGGGGTCGAGTTGACTTATAATTCAGGTGTATGGGGAGTGAAATGGGATATTCATTCAAAATAAGACGTCGTCTTAGATGACTTCTCCACACGCAGAGTGAAGCAGAGGGCTGGAGGCAGTTTTTCTGAATGTTGCAGGTACCTTACATCCATTTTGGCAAGAGCTGTTCGGAATATTGAAGTTGTGGTGTCCTCCCCACCCCCACCCCACACCCCTGGCCCCGTATACTGCATCATTCTGGAGAGGTCTGCATTCCCACAGGCTTTCCCTGCCAGCCGGGTGACATGATAGATGGAACATGATGATACCAAGCAGGGTTGATTTCACGTTCAGTTCTAAAAATTTTCACTTGGGTCTTTGGGCAAGAACAGTGTGGGTGAAGGTGTGTGTGTGTGCATGTGTGAGTGCATGAATGTTTGTATGTGTGATATGTGTGCATGGATATGTGTATGCATGCATGTGCTTGACATGTGTGTGCATATGTGCATGCATGTGTGTGTGGGTATGTGCATGCATATATGTGTGATGTGTGTTTATATGTGTGTGTGTGTGTGTGTGTGTGTGTGTGTGTGTGTGTGTGTGTGTGTGTGTGTGTGCGTTTATATGTGTATGAATGTCAAGGGTGGAAAACTGCCCCAAAAGACAGTCACAAAGAGGTCCACTAGGGAGAATGGCCATATTGTGCATTCAGGAGCCTCCTTTTTCTTTTGAGGAGATGCAGTTACCCTCACATACAGAGAATGTAAGAGTAAGCCCTGTCCTAAGCTCCCCACCGCATGGCTGGAGGGCCAACTGTGAGTTCCTGAATATTTTTGGAGTGCACAAGAAAGAAATGAACTACATGGAGGGGTGGGGTTGAAGGAGGTCTATCAACACATCAATGGTCTGGTTTACCAAGTACATGGCACTGTTCCCACCTTATGAGATACGCATCCTCTCATTCCACAAGCTCATTTGAGAGATGTTCATTCGAGCTCCAGAGGCCTGGCTAGCTTTCACTGATACTGAACTAAAGAGCCCATCACTCAGACAGACATACCTTCGAATCTTGTGAGACCTTAAACTACTCATTTTCATTCTCTGGGCCTCTAAAATAGAATGAATACCCTCCTCACGGTGAAGATGAGGGAACTAATGCTTGTGAAGAGCATGGCAGGGTATACAGAGCAAGTGCTCTGTAAAGCTAGGCTTCCTGCATGCCCACCTTTCCTAGCTCTGTCCCCCAGCTTTGTTTCCTAACTGGCCTGCCTCCTCCTGTGTGGTCCCATCTTTCAGCCCACTGATGACAAGCCCTCTCCCCTACACGTAAATATCTTCGTGTGTCCACTTCTGCCCCCACCCCAAGCTTTTCTCTGTTGGGGGCAGCCAGGTTAAGCTTCACAGTCATGTGATCTGAGCAGATGCGCAGGGCCCCATGCTTAATCATGGGCGTTGGTTTAATGCTTTGCTGTTACCATATTAAAACTCTAAATTTTGAACAAGGGCTCCACATTTTCCTTTGCACTGGGCCTTGAAAATTATGTCAGTGGGGAGGAGACCAACCTCTTCCCAAGCGACCCTACTCTTTGTTTTGACCCTGGTCTGGTGGCTTGCTGTAGACCAGGAGGGCAGAGGAATTGGAGCTTCTTTGGGCCCTGACCTGGGTGATCTTAAACACATTGTGTCATTTGACCCCAGTTTCACTAATGAAGAACAGAGACTTTACCGTGTCATTTGTCCAAAGCCACAAAACTGGTCAATGAAGTTTGAATCAGGTGTGCCCAGTGACAAAATTGGGTCTTCCAACTCTTCCATCATAAGTACACTTAAAATCCATCCAGGCCGGGCTCGGTGACTCAGTCTGTAATCCCAGCACTTTGGGAGGCCAAGGCAAGTGAATTGCCTGAACCCATGGGTTCGAGACTAGTCTGGGCAACTTAGCAAGACCTCATCTCTACAATAAATAAAAAATTAGCCGGGCATGGTAGCGCGCACCTGTAATTCTGGCTACTTGGAAGCCTGAGTTGGAAGGATCGCTGGAGCCCAGGAGATTGATGCTGGGATGGCCGTGAGCGTGCCACTGCACTACTGCCTGGGCAACAGAGTGAGACTCCAACCTCCCCCCCCAAAACAAATCCACCCAGATTAAAAAACCCATCCACCTACATATCCCCATTCAGGTGTAGAGGGCTAATTCTTTCCTACTATAATAAGCCGTACATATAAAAGCAACGAATTTAACACATTCCAACAGGGAAAAACCTACCACATAACTTCTGAAGGGATTTCTCTGAGTAGGTCTCCCGGTCACAGCCCTTTCCGATGTAGTTAGTCTGCAGCTCTGCGATGATCTGGAGGGAGGACACAGCACCATCACACGTCTCCAGGTGGATGCTGGGGAACAAAGGCATGCTCCCGGAGCCGGGCTGATACTCAATCCTCTTGGTCCAGTCTAGATAAACAAGAACAGGATGGAAAGCAAACCAGGTATGGTCAGTTCTGCTAGAACACTTGTTTTGCAAACCTGACATTGTTCCAACAAATTATTTGTCCCAACAAATTGGTATATGTATTTTGAATTGAGCAATAGCTTACTTTATTTTATTTTATTGAGTTGTGGGGTACATGTGAAGATTTACTACATAAGGCAGTTGTGTGCAGGTGATTTACTACATTAATAAGTTCTGTGCAAGCTTCTAGCTGGCCCTCTCTCCCCCGATAGTGGATAAGGTACCCAGTGCTGCCACGTGCTTCTTCCCTCCTCTCTCCCCTAGCACAGTTCAGCTTCTGCCGATCCCACAGACTTTCCCTGCCAGCCGGGTGACATGATAGATGAAACATGATGATACCAAGGAGGGTTGATTTCACGTTCAATTCTAAAAAATTTCAGTTGGGTCTTTGGGCAAGAACAGTGTGAATGTGTGTGTGTGTGTGTGTGTGTGTGTGTGTGTGTGTGTGTGTTTGTGCGTGTGTGTGTGCATAAATGGTAATATGTGTGGTATGTGTGCATGCATATGTGTGACAGAGCTAGGGAAGGTGGGCATGGAGGAATCCTAGCTTTACAGAGCACCTGCTGTGTGTGTACCCTGCCATGCTCTTCACATGTGCTAGTTCTCTCGTCTTCACTGTGAGGAGGGTGTCATTCATTCTATTTTAGAGACCCAGAGAGTGAAAATGACTAGTTTAAGGTCACACAAGATGGCAAGTGCTCCTGTGACCAGTGATCAGGGCCCACTTATGAGTGAGAACATGTGGTGTTCAGTTCTTCTATCAAACACATTAGCGAACAGCTTGAGAATAATGGGAATTTTGCATTTGCTTATGCAAGATTTTCTCCCTGAGGAATACTAGGCAAATAAGAAAACTGCATTTAGCTGAACTGAGCCACATTGGAATATACAAAACATGCTCATGCATACAGACACCTCAAACATACACCAGCTACTCAGTTCACCATGTGTATGAGCCACGCCCACCCAGCAGTTCTAGCCTGCAGTTACAAGTTCCCATGACTTTCCAAGAACCTCCACCCACCTGCTTCACAACAATACACCAGAGGCAACCCTTTTAACAGCCACTTCCACGAGTAACATCACGTCTCTTCAAGGTCAAGTGCCACATTTAATGTAGTACTTGTGTAATTTGTGCTAATGCTTTCTCTTTCTCCTTTTATTAGGAGTCATCGATGGCGATTTTGAGTGTTGTGTCTCTCACCCCCATTTTCCTCCCTGTGCTTCATATGGTTTTTAAGGAACGTGTTTATCTTGTTACAAAACAAAAGAGGGTGAGGTCATTCGAGGATTGCCAGACCACTAGGCAGGGTGCAAAGACACTTAAACATTCGGAGCCTTGATCACTAAAGTAGATTGATGGTCTCATTGCTGTTTTTTTTGTTTTGTTTTGTTTTTTGGTTTTTGAGTTGGGGTCTCACTCTGTCATCCAGGCTGAAGCACACTCACAGTCCCCCCAGCATTGACCCACTGGGCTCCAGTGATCTTTCTGCCTCAGCCTTCCAAGTAGCCAGAACCACAGATGTGTGCTACCATACCTGGCTACTTTTTAATTTATTTTAGAGATGAGGTCTTGCTAAGTTCCCCAGGCTGGTCTCGAACCCGTGGGCTCAGGCAATCCACTCGCCTCGCCTCCCAAAGTGCTGGGATTATAGGCTGAGCCACCAAGCCCGGTCTCATTGCTGCTTTTTAGTGGAAATATGATTTGGAAATGATGAAGCATTGGAGAGGAACACTACCACAATTAAAATGGCACCACACACAAATAGAGCAATCAACAAAGATCAACTCTAAAAGTGAGTGTACACAGGCAATGATTAATACAGTAACAACAGCGACTACGGTCAGAGCCCACTCAAAGCAAGCCTCCCAATGACTGATGCAGCATGTCCCACACCCTGCCAGGATATGTATCTGGGAGGGCTGTGTGGTTGTCCTCAACCAGACGTGGTGCAGAACAACTCACTCTGAAGTCATCAAGCAATGTGAGTTAGGGGTACTGTTCATTTATGAACCCCAAATGTCTGTCACATAGAACATTGCTGGGTGGTGTCCTTTTGCTGAAGCAGAAATGGAAATCTATGAATTGCCTGGCCTTGCCCCAAGACACACAGAAAGTCCTGCATGTGTGGGGCTTTGCATCACGCTGCCACCACCAGGAGGGTCTTCCCAGTGTGCCACTGGCGCCACCACGGTGATATTAATGCCATAGAGAAGGCTGGGCTTTGGGGAAGCCAGATGTCTTCGTTCACTGAGCAACCATTTGTTCGGGGTTTGTTTCTATGAGCCAGGCTCTGTTTGGAGAACCAAGGATATAGCAGTGAACCACTCAGGAGCCTTGAGGGGAGGGGGTGGGTGGAAGCAGGTGATGAACAAGTCTGCGCTGTCCAATCCAAAAGGAGCAAGTGCCATGAATGGAAAAGCCAGTGGTAGAGAGGGGCTCCTTTAGATCCAGAGTTCACCTCTGAGCTGAGGCCTGAATGCCAAGGACAAACATGCCAGGGGAGCCTCAGAGAAGAGTGTTTGGAACAGATGCAGCAACGATCTTGGCTTGGCTCTGTAAGGTCGGGCAGTTCTTGAGCAGGCTACCAAAGTTCTTCAAGCCTCATGTACCTCATCAATAAAATGGGAACCATGGCACCGGCCTGACAGGCTGGGGTATGGATCAAGTGTAAAAACGTGTACATAGCATGCGGTAGGGGCCCCAATCAATGCAATTCCCTGGCGAGGAAGGGGGCTATGATCTCTGCCCTGCAATCCTGCCATGTTTCAGGTAACTACGAGATCGGAGTTTATCTCTGAGTCGCCACGGTGACCAGCAGCCCTTATGGGGTTTTCTCAAGCGTGCCATGTGCAGAGGTTGTGAGGTTTATCTCCAGGGAACTTACAATGAAAGGGTGTCTGGGCAAGAGGGACTATTTGTGAAGAATATACCCAATTACATGATTTTACTCATAGCTTCCGGGAGCTGTGTGTGGACTGGCCCACCACCTCTCTGAAGATGAGATCACAGGGCTGCAGTAGCTCATGCCTCAGAGGCTCTAAGTTCCACCACTCTTTTGCACCTCTAGAGCAAAAGAAGCTTTTTTGTCAAGCGTATCTGAAAGTCCCAGTGCTGTGAGAAACCATCCACCCACAGCCAGCTGTGTAATATCCCAGGTACAAAGTGTTTCATGCTGCTATGCATTTCATCATGCTGTTTCTTCTACTTGGAGTTCTCTCTCTGTTGCCTTCCTTCTTGCCACCTCCTCCATGCAGCCTTTCAGGATTCTCCAGTCTCAGTCTAGGTAGATGCCCTCTTCTGTGCTTCTACAATGTCTTCAATATTAGACAGCAGCATTATACCGCAAGCTTCATGGTGTCTCTGAGTTGCCATCACACTGCATGGTACGGAGTAGATGCTCACTAGATAGTGGTAGAAACTGTGAAGGAATCCTATAGGGTATCTTGTTGAAATGATCCATTTGTGTACTTGCCTTACCCCATAACTGTAAACTCCTTAAAAGCAGGGATTGGCCTTAACCCCTGAACTTTGGGAGGCTTGAGCCCAGAGGTTTGAGACCAGCCTAGGCAACATAGCAAGACCTCATCTCTACCAAAAAAAAAAAAAAGCCTGCATGGTAGTGTATGCCTGTAATCCCAGCTACTCAGGAGGCTGAGGTGGGAGGATCACTTAAATCTTGAAGTGAGCCAAGATCATGCTACTGCACTTCAGCCTGGGCAACAGAGTAAAACCTTGTCCCCAAAAAACAAAGCAGAGATTGTAATGTCTGGTTTTGACCCTCCTCACCTAGATCAGAATGCAGGAAATATTTGCCAGATGGATCTGGGGAGGCCTAGATACCTGGCCTTGACTGCTTAAAGATTCCCTGACCCATTTGCAGCTTCCTGGTACTGACCCTGTCTACCCCTATCTTCAGTCCTGCAGAAGCATCCATTCCTACTGCAGCATGTCGCATGTTTGATTCTCTTTGTCCTTGACAAGGGAACTAGTTCAAAACTGAAGATGGAGAAATCTGTTTCCAAATAACAAGAAATGACATGACCAAGGAGGAAGCCGGTTTTCTTTTCCCCTTCCCTCCTTTTTTCTGAACTCTCCCTGTCTTTAGAGATGCTAACTAAAAATGGAGAAGGTGGTTTTGTATGCACAGAAGGGGGATTTCAAGGGATGGGGGACTTGGTGTGAGCCCCACAGCACTGGTCTTGGGGGTCTCCTTCCGCCAGTGTGTGAAAGCCTCCCATAATTCCTCCTCTGGTCAGTCGCCGGAAGCCTCTTCCCTGGAGAAACCCAAGACACCCTCAGTACTGAGACCCTTTATTCTGCAGGCACCACAGGCATCTCTTTCTCATCTAGATGTTTTGGTGGTTATCTATGATGAGAAATTCTACCTCAAATCTCTTCCAGAAGGAGGGAAAATAAACAAGCAAGTGAATCATGAAGGGAAAGCCAGCGGAAACACAGTCCTAGTAAAGTTTTCATCTCACCCACCCCTGGCTGGGAGGGCAGGGCCCTCTCTGGTCACCGGGGAGAAATCAGGTATGAAAGAGCTTTAGAAACATCACAACTGCCCATTGCTTTGGTGACCTCATGAGGCTTGTTTTTGAGGGTTTATGAGGAGCAGGCAAAATTGCAACCATATAGTAAAAAAAAAAAAAATCGATGGAGCCTTCTGAGCACAGTGTCCTTGAGAGAGTGAAAAACTCACACAAACATCCTCCATTTTCTAAGAAGGAGCTGGGGTGGGATTAAGCAAGCTAGAGACAAGTCATCAAATTCGGCCTTTGCCACACGAAACGTCTATTTATTCTCATTTCCTGGAGGGTAGTACAGCATGGTTGTTAAAAGGATGAATTTTAAATTCAGCATACCTGAATTTAGATCCCAGCTTTAACACTTATTGTGCAACATTGGGCATATCACTTACCCTCCCCAAGCCTCAGT